CTGCCAGGTGTCTCAGGGCACCCTCCCCCTGCACCAGCCTCCCCAAACCCCGAGGTGGGGAGCATCGTGCGAGAGTGTGGGGCACCCACGCCAGTCAGCAGGCCCTGCCGGAGCTCCTACCACAGATGAAACGGCTTTTGAAAAGCTTCTCAAAAATGCAATTTTCTCCCACAGGCAACGTTGGAGTATGTGTGCGGAGGGGGCGGGAGGGCCACCACCCCTCCAACCCTGCCTCCCACACAGTGCTCAGCAGAGAGACCTTGGGGGTGGGGGCTGCTGGGCAAGGCCACCCGACCAGGGCCAGGAAGGAAAGAGGCAGGGGGCCAGCTGGGCTGGGGGGCCGGCTTGGGCCAGGCTCCCCCGCATCTGCCCCTGTGTATCCAATTACGCTCAACCTCGGCACGTTCAGTCGCCCTCCCAGGAGCCCCCCTCAGCCCCACGCATCCCCGCTGGGTGCTGAGCAAGAGGACCATATGGAGGGAATAATAAGACAATTAACTTTCCATTAAAGAATAATATATGTGGGTTTTTAGGGAGGCGAGCTGCAGCAATCCCTACCCAGTGGCATATTTCACACCGTGCTCCCACCACCCCGCCCCGATTCACCCCACATCCTGAGACGATGCCAGAAGAGGAGGGCCCCATGGGCCCCGATGGGCGGGTGGGGCCGCATGGGAGCAGGCACGGAGCCCAGGACTGGTTCTGAGGCTCCTCCCAGGCACCACCCCTCCGCTGGCTCTGGGCACATCAGCCGGGACAGTGTGAGCGGGCCCGTCAGGGAGGAGCTGCAGGCCTGCCCGCCTGGGTGCGTGCAAGGCACAGGGCCCGACAGCGGGACCGACTGTGGGCTGGGGTCTCGACTGCCTGAGCTCCCCATGCTGGCCCTAGAGGCTTCCATGCCCTGGCACCTTCCCAGCCTGGCTTCCTTCCTCCTCTTTTGCCCAGCAGCCCTGGGGCCCTGTGTACCCCTGTGCCCTCGGACCCTGCTACCCCGCCCAGGATGCCCAAATGGGGGCCAGGCGTGGCCCGCACCCTCAAGCCAGTGTGTGAGTGTGCATGGCTTCAGCAGGGGTGGGGCAGGGAGACACCTGTCTCAAGGCACGAGGAAGGGGCCATCCCCACCTCCCCGAGCCCTCGGGAAAGGGGCCCTCTATGTGGTCAGACCCTGGTCCTTGCCAGGAGCCAGCTCCAGATGTGGCACTTTGCAAATACCAATTACACATTCCCAGGGAGCACTGAGCAGACTGGGTGTGGGGATGGCCACGGGCAGGTGGGCAGGGACTATGGTGCCGTGCCTGATTCAGAAAAGCCACCGTGGTTACCCACAGATGCAGGGACACAGAGAAGCCATGGGCCTGGATCACCATGACTGTCCAAGGAAGCAGTGGGGAGGGCAGTGGGGGGCTGGAGGCAGGGGCCTCCGAGCCCTGGGGTCCTGCTCTCTGGGGACTAGCTCAGCAGGGCAGGGGAGGGGTGGCCCCAGGGTGGCTCTTCCAGGCAGGCCCCGGTCCTGCACCTCTGCCTTGATCCCTTTGCCCAGCCACACCACCACTTAGGGCTGGCCTTCCGGGCTCCGGGATGGGACTGGCCGGTGGAGAGAGCTGGCTGGGTCCCTGGTTGCCTTCTGTGTGACAGGACTGCAGGAGCAGCTGGCAGCACGCAGCGGTGAAGGCCATCGTGAAGGCCACTGCGAAGGCCATTGAGGCTCTAGGCCGTTTCCGCCCTGACCAGCGGGAGGCGCGGACACCGATGCGGCCTGAGAAGGGCTCCCGCAGGTCCAGACCCGGCTCCAGCCTTCCCGGACAGAGCAGGGGTCTCTGCTCCCCTGGCACGGGGTCTTCTCACATCCTTCTTTGGAGACAGACCCTCCGAGGAGGGCTCCCACCCAGGTCAGGGCCAGTCTCAGGCTGGCCCGCCGATGGCCCCTCCTGTGCCTGACTGTGACCTTCCTGCCCTGGGGTCTGTAGGTCTAGACTCCTTCCCCTCCTCCTTGGACCCCCCAGTCAGGGGGGCAGTACCCAGCAGTCTCTGTAAGAGTGACCTGGGCTTCAGAGTGGGGATACTGGTGGACTCTGCATCCTCCCCAGCACCCCCAGGCACCTGATGAATTATTCATCCTCATCAGCTTTATTATGTAAATGAGTGCCAAGCCCTGGCATATGCTCTGTGCTCTCCCCCCAGGATGGGGACAATATGGTGCTGTAGGGGGAGAGGCAGGCTGCATAGGGTCCACACTTCTGTGGCCTGTTCATGGCAGGAGCAGGCCAGGGCTAGGGTATGGTGGGGCTGAGGTGCCCAGGGGGCAGGGTTCGGGGGCATCTGGGTGTTGGCACACCCCCCGCCTAGGTGTCCCATGATTCCTGACCTGTAAACGGACTGCAGCCGTGCCCCCACAGGGTTGTGGTGAGGCCCGAAGGAAGGAAGTGCCAAGATGAGGAACATGCCCCCCAAAGGCTGCCGTGGGCAGTGTCTGAACTCTCACAGCTGCCAGCCTCTGTGGCGCCCAGCTCCCGGGGTGGGGCATCCTGAGGACTCCGGCAGAAGGAGCGGCAGCCTTGGGAGGGAGGAAGGTGAGGGGCCTGGGTGCCAGGGTCAGCCCAGCTGCAAGGGGTTCGGGGGCAGCTCAGAATCAGCTCGGAGAGGCCTGGGGCGGGGTGGCCCCCATGGGGAGTGAGGCTGCCAGCTTGGCAGGGCTAGTGCCAGAGTCAGTGGGAGCTCCCGCAGCCAGGCACGGGCTGGGCACAGGCCCCTCGTGTGCACCTGAAGGAGGGCCAGGTGGCTCAGCCAGGGTCCATGTGGGCTGCGGGGTGGGACGCCGACCGCCTGGGCCCCCTGATCCCCCAGGGCTGTCCTGTGCCTCCAGGGCTCTTCGCCTGCTCCCCTACCCCCACCTCACCAGTGCCCTGTGCCAAGAAGCAGCCCCAGAGCTGGCAGTGAGGAGTAGGAGGCTGAGGGAGCAGCTGAGAAAAACTGGAACAGGACAGAGCCGCTGGTGGGGGTGCCAGGAGGAGCCGGGCATGCCGGTCAGCACCTCTCCGGCCACCTGCCAGGCAGCCAAGCCACACCACACACGGACCCTGCTCCAGCCAGCTCCCCGCTGCCCCACGCTCCTTCTGCTCACCTGCCCGGGAGGGCACAGCCAGAGGGGGCAGCGCCCTGGAGCCGGAGCCGGAGCGCAGAGCCCAGGGCCCAAGCCCAGCCCCGCCTGAGCCGCCATATCACATTGGCAGGTGAGGGTGCGGAAAGACGTGGCCACTGATCGAAATGTCTGGAATTACTCAACTCCCATCAGAAGTAAGGGGAAGTACATCCAAGCAGGGGAAGTGGCCACACTGGTTTCTAGAAAAGGAGGCGTCTCTGCGCCAGCCGGTCCACTGCCACTTGCACCCCTTCATCCTCCAGCCAGGTGTCCCAGCCACACCCTGAACCAAGAGTGAGGGTCAGAGAGGGAGGACTGAGGACTTGCCCGGGAGCCCCCGGGGGCATGCTGAGCCGGGCTTCCGTCCCCAGCCCCTTCCATCTGGGAAGCTGGTGGGTCAGCCAGCGCCCAGTCCCAGGCATGGAATGTGTACGTCCCTTTCTCAGCAAACCCTCAGGGCCTGAGTTGCCTGTGACTGTAAAATAAACAATGTCCTGGAGCTGAGGATTCAAAGCATGGCAGGTTCTCGACTAGAGGTGCGTGGTTAACTCCTCTGGGGTACAGCTTCTGTCCTGATACGACACTTGTAAAGGCACAGGCCACACATTGCAGGGAGCTATCATTTCTTCATCAACCCACAGGGCCATGCTCAGCAGCATCCGCTGAGCACCCGGTGAGCACTGCGTGTTGTTTCCGAGCATAACTGAATTCTGTTCCAGAGCAGCCTTCTCTGGAAAGCTCTGCCAGCCTCAGTGTGGCTGAGTCACTGAGAGTTCACAGACGGGGGTGGATGGGGGTCACTGCCATCCAAGCCCAGCCACCAGGGAAGGGAGGTTCGGAGAGGCTGGGCCCCAGGGAAGACACCGAGCAAGCTGGTGGCTCAGACCTGCAGGCCTAGACTCCGCCTCCGGGCCTGTTATCACCCTGTCAGCCCCCATCAGTCCCACCCTGTGCCAGAGGTCCCACATGCACGGCCAATGTCTCACCTCACTGCCACCCATTTCCTGGGCACCCGCTGTAAGCCAAGCATGGGAAGGATGGACGACAACACCCCATGGCAGCTGCCCCACAGTCATGCCTGCTGCCCCGGCCCTGACTGAGGGAGCAGCAGGCACCGGGAGGCACCCCTTCACCAAGCCCTGGGCCTGGACTCTCAGCTGAACCACAGTGGCAATTGTAATTCCCCGCCATTCCTGGGACAGCCACGGGCAGAGGATCCCCATCAGCCCCTGCCCAGTTCCAGCCGCCCGTCCTGGCCCACATGTCTGCAGCAAGTACTGGGAGTCCCACCCAACCACTTCAAGGGCTCAGCATTTCCACAGCAGGAGTGACGGTGCGGGAGCCTGACAGGGACAGTCTGCAGCCCTCGGGGTGACAGATGCATCACTATTTCAAACATTAACATAATCTCCCAGGATGAATGCGGTCGCTCTCGCCCAATCAATCACCCTCCCGCCTTGATCCCTCACTCGCCAAGCCCAGGGTTAACCGTCTCGCTGAGCGGGCGGCGCTGCTCTGTGGGCTGGTTTGGCTGAGGGCCGTCCCGCCGGCTTCCGTGCACCCCTGCCCCAAGGCCCCTCTGGGGCCTGGGCTCCCACCCAACACAGACCTCACCCTCTGCAAACCTGGAGAGCCTGACACCTTGACAGAGCCGGCCAGGTGCTACCTCCAACGACCCCGCGGGAGGGTGGGCCAGGCCCCGAGGTGTTGCTGCTTTCCGGCTATTTCCCCACCTTCCCCACACCTGCCCCATGGACCTCACAAGGCCAGGCTTTCCTCTCTCCTTATTTCTGAAGGCCTCTTCCCATTCCCACCCCCAAGACAGTCCCTGAAGGGAAGGAAGCAAGGGCTGCAGGCTTACCTCACGGAGCTGCTGGACGCCCCCAAAGATGCGCATCACGCCGTCCACCTCCTGCTCCAGGCGCCGGGCCCAGTGCTGCATCCTGCATGACGAGAACAGAGGTGTCAGGACGACGTGCACAGCCCGCTCCAGGCTGGGCCTAGGGCGCCCGGCAGCTGCCCCCCAGAACCCAGTTCTCCCCAGAGAAGAAAGACAGCCCTTGTCAAGGCTGGCCCACTGGCCTGGCCTGCCGCCCTGCAGCATGGCAGGGGCAGTGGGTGGTAGTTTCAATGCCCGAGGGCCCAGCAGCTCCCAGAAGCCCGCAGGCAGACTGCTTCCCACTGCGGAGAGCCGGCTCTTGGTGCTGCTGCTCTGAACATAGGGCTCGACACCAGGAGAAGTGGGCAGGGGTAGCTGGGGCAGCTCCTGTCCCCAAGGCTGGTGGGGCCTGGGGAAGCGCGGAACATGAGTAGCTGCTGCCATCACTGTGTGAGGGGGCAGGTCCAGCCCCTCGGGGCCTCATCTGAGAAGTGCGTGGGGAGCACCCCGGCTCACACGCCCTCGCCGTCCAGGGTCAGCAAATGCACACTTCCGAGCTCATCACTGGGCACCTCACTGCACTGCCCACCCGCAGGTCCAGTTCAGACCATCCTGCCCCTCTGGGCACCTGACAAGCCCTGAGACCTCCCCCAGGCCACCAGCCTGAACAGAGCTGTTCACAGTGCTGCCCCGAGCTTGTTCTGTCCCATCCGCATCTCCATTTCCCTGTCCAGAACGTGGGGACACTTGGAGGCCTTGCAGGGTATGCAGTGGGAACAGGTGGGTCAAGGGTGCTGCCCAGGGACCCTGGTGAGTGGACACCATGGCCTGGTGGTCACAGGACCCGTATTCTCAGCCACACCCATGAACAGGGACTGATCTGGGGAGTGGCCCGGCCCCAGCTCTGACCTGTGACCCCCTCGTGTGCCAGAGCAGGCGAGCAAAATCACACTGGTCCTCGCCAGGGGCCAGCCAGTGCACCTCTCCACATGCCCACAGAGTGCTCCGCCATGACCAGTGCATCCGGAAAGGCATCTCAGCTGCCCTCCACCAGCCGCAGAGCAAGGCCTCCCAGGGAGTGCGCAGGAGAATTTCCACAAAGATTTAACTAAGCCAGCATGGCAGAGGAGAGCCCACAGGGCAGAGCAGGAGTGGGCTGATGCCAGCCCCCAGTCTCAGAGGGCACAGCGTCTGGGGCATTGCACCTGGCCCCAGCACCTGCCTGGACCTGTGCCCTCCCTTGCCTTGCCTGGCCACTTGGGGCCAGGACTCTTCTAGCACCTGGGTCAGAAGGGCTCGAGTCCCTACCCCGGCCCCTGCCCCATATCCGTCTCTAGGCCTGTGCCTGGGGAGCTGGGCCCATGCCATTGTGTGTGCCCAGGTCGGTTGGCATGGGAACTCAGAGCAGGAGGCGGACTGCTCACTAATTGCAATTTGCCAAGCTGAATGTCAGGACCGTGATGGAAAAAAAACTCAGCATCAAAAGAAAGAGGTATTGGCTTCGGCGTGTTGCGGGCTGAGCCACAGCCTGAGGCCCTCCTCCGCTGCCCACTGCAGGGAAAAAGCTAACCCCAAGCGCAGGTGGAGGCCAGGCTTTGAAGGGCAATCAGGCCTCAGCCACCAGCCAGGGGAGGGCAGAGCCCAGTGGAGAATGGAGAGCCTGCTTGGCCCCCGGCCCCCGTCTACCAGGTGTGGATGGCTTGGCCCTGGCTGCTGACAGACAGTGGGGCAGGTGGCTGTTCTGCGCTCCTGGGATGGAGCCCAGGGAGCGAATGCTGAGATGCACTTCCACACAGTTCTGTGTCCAGCTAGGCATATGAATGAGCGAGGCCAAGGAGCTGATCTCCAAGGGGAACCGTGAGCTCTGCCCTGGCCCTGACCCCAGCCACTCACTGGCTGAGAATGCCAATCGTGACTCTTCCTGAGGCTAATATGCTCAAGGGCACCCCCTTTACACAGCACACATCACCTACTCTTGCTTCAGTCCTCACAAAGAAGAGTACGTTATCACCCCCAATTTACAGATGAGGAAACCGAGGCACAGGGCCTTTAAGTGACCTGCCCAAGGTTGCCCACCGAGGAAGTGGTGATCCCGAAGTTGATGCAGTCAGCAACTACATTCAGTGCCATCCCCTGGGAGCTTGAAATTGGCCAGAGTGAGAATATTTACACTGTGGACATCAATCAGCATATGCTACAAATCACACTTTTTTTCCCCAAGAAAGCAAACTGCGAACATTTACCAGCACACCGCTGATTCCACCCAGGGTGATAGGTCTCGGTTCTGGGATTTCACAGATAAGTGGAAGAAAATTAATTGGGAGAGCAGACACAGATGCCAAGTTTTTATTTTGCTGAGACAACATATTATTATTATTATTATCATCATCATTTCATCTAAAAAGGCTATTTCACCGGGAAGGCAGTATAGCACCGAGAAGACAAAGTAGTGACTCTCTAGCATCTTACTACGCTGATGGACAGTGACTATAATGGGGTGGGGGTGGGGGACTTGATCATGGGGGGAATCTAGTAACCACAAGGTTGCTCATGTAATTGTGTATTAATGATACAAAATAAATTTTAAAAGGCTATTTCAATAGTAAAAAAACTTTGGAAGAACAAAATCTCAGGATAAAGTCCAATTCTTCCCAAGACACACACACTCTCCCCGACTCCCAGCCCAGGCTGAACAGCTGCAGACTCTGCTATGGCTGCAGGGACCGGCCCACCCGTGCCACGTCAGGATACACACACCCTGCGGGGCCCAGGGGGCTCCCGCCCTTGGTTGGAGTCCTGACCTGCCTAACGGCCAGACCCCTTGCCCCATGGCACTGCTCACCAGCACGACGCTGGGAAAAGCATGTTCCTCTGGGCATTGGCTCACGCCAAGCCCAATTAGGAAGGCAATGCCTGTGTCCAACAGTCAAAAAGAGCATGATAGATACGGCATTTCATCATCGCAGAGATGTGACTCTGCGGGTTCCAGGGTCTGGCTGGTGTGCTGGGCTGGCTCTGGGGGTGACACATGGGACCACGGAGGCCAGGAGCTGACTACACCTGCAGGGGTCCTGTCCTGGACCCACCAAGCCAAGATGAGCCTTCCACTCCAGCAGAAGGGCACACTAGTTCTTGGGGGACACATCAGGATCCATGGTCCCACTGGGTCAAAGGCAAACTGACCAAATCCTGCCTGGGCTCCCATCAGCCTGGGCCCCAAGTGCTTGGCTCTGCCCAGGCCCCCTGGTCAGACAGTGTCGCCAAGGGGTCACCCTCCCCACCTGCTGGCTCCCCACATCCCTGTGATTTTCCATGCTCTTCATTGAGATGACACTGCTTATCTCCAAGTGCCTCTAAGTGCCAAATTAGCAAGACAGTGAGGAGAGAGTGGCTGCAAGGAGGCACGTGCCGCCAGGGGCTGCAGCCAGCAGGCAGAAGGAATGGAGTGGGCTGGGGACAGAGCCTCGCATCACCACGGCCTCCAACGCGCCTGAACCTGGGGAGGTGCAGGCACTGTGCCCTCATTTCACAAACCAGGAAACTGAGGCCCTGGCAAGGATGGGGTGGGGCTGTGCGCTCAGAGAAGCCAGACCTGGTCCACCAGCCCTGACGCCAGGGAAGTGCAGCCACTGGGGAGCCCTGGGGCTGGCTGCCCTGCCAGCTGTGTGACCTCGCACAGTCCGGCCCCTCCCGATCCTCAGCCTTCCCATGTGTAAACGGGTAACAATGACTCGTTGAGTAGCTTTAATGGCCAATCCTCACAGCGACCTTGATGGGAAGAATTACGGAGCAGTCCCAAGGCCCAGTGCCCAGGAGATCTTCCGAACACCCCCACTCTTGGAGAGAGGGTACTGAGGGAGGGAAAGGGGGCCTCTCACGGTTCCCTCAACCCCCTGCTCCCAGGCTGAGAGGGGCCGGGGGCGGGCACAGGGCAAAGACGCGTGTGTCCCAGTTTGGGCAGGCTGAGGGCGGCCTGGCAGAAGGATTTGGTCCCCAGGGCATGGTTCAGAGTGAAGAGGAGCCCGCAGGGGAGGCAGGGCTGTCACCATCAGGCAAGCAAGCAAAGCCAGTCTCAGTGGGGTGAGGGGCTGGGGCCGAGGACCACTTTTAGCAGACAGAACCATCGAGACCCCTGCTAGAAGGCCGGGGAGGCCCTGGGTCTGACCTACAGAGCGTTCAGGTGGCGGCCCCCACCCAGGGCCAGCGGGTGGAGAGGGAGAGGGGAGGGGAAGGAGCCCGTGAGCAGCAGTGGCATAGATTAAACTGTTGCCAGTTGTTAATTTCATATGTGAAGCTGTTGATCAGAATGTGATTTAATTGTACAGTATAATCCAGGCTTTTGGAATAAATTATGCAGAAAACTCATCTATAATTAAACAAATCAAAAAACCAGAGACAGGTGACACTGCAGGTTCACCCTCAGAGGGCATGGGTGGTTGTGGGCAGCTGGACCCCGCGGAGCGGCTGGGAAGGGTGGGGAGGGCTGGTTCCTCAGCAGCGCAGCCCGGAAGGCCCAGCAGGCCAAGGCTGGAGGGGCGAGGGCCTCGGGCACCAGCTTCTGCCTCAGGAAGGCCTTCTCAGCACGCCCACGGAGGCGTGTGCCATCAGAGCCTTGATGCTGGCCGCCTCCACCAGGCAGCCTGTCCAGACAGCTCTGGATCCACTGGGGGCCTACGAGCAGCCTAGAGCCCCCTTCAGCTCGGCAGGGCAGCACGGCGGCAGGACGCTGGGGGTAGACTGCAGGGGAAGCGGGAGGGGTGGGCGGCTGGGCCGGGGAGGGGCCAGGGGGCCCATGGCGGAGGCCGCTTGCTGCCGAGCGCCTGCGGACGGAGCTCAGCAGCGGTGGGGCCCGCGGGTCTCCTGCTTCTCCAGTGACAGGCCGGCCAATTCTCCCCGCTCTGGGGTGGCAACAATTTAAAATAAAGTACTACTTAATTATTCTGATTATACTTCGGCTGGCCTGCCACCTCCCACTGGAAGGCAGTCTTCTGAAGGGGAACAAAGACCCGGCAGGAGGTGGGGGAGGCACTGGAGTCCAAGAGAGCCCTGCCGGAGGGCCTCTGG